TCCCCAGCCTGTACTGGTGTCTGGGGTTATTCCTCCCCAGGTGCAGGACCTCGCACTTGGCCTTGTAGAATTTCGTGAGGTTTCTCACCGCCCAGTTGTCCAGGTCCCTCTGGATGGCAGTGCAGCTCTCTGAGGTATCAGCTACTCATCCCACTTTTGTTTCTCTGACTATTTTGGCAGGCAAAAGAAAACCCTTCCTGGCAGCAGAAAAAAATATGTTTTTAGACTAATGAGGAAAGCCAGTTACACATATCAGGTCTAAAACGAAAATACATTTTTCTTTCCAGGATCGTTTGTCTGAATGAACTAGTGCTGTTCACTTTAAAAAATTGTGCAGAAGGGCTGTATGTCATGGATGCAGAAAATTTTCCTAAGGCAAAAAATATATTCTCGAGGTTTCAAAAAAAAAGAGTGTGTGTGTGGCGGGGGGAGGGGGAGGAATTCTCTCCTGTTCTGTTTTTTGTTTGTTTATGTTTTATTTTTAGGCAAGCAAATATAGTAGTTCTGCTAGCTGGTTTGTCACTCACTTGGACATGCCAATTCTGTACTGCTTGGTGCAATTATTCATTCTTATTTAATGAACTTTGAAAGCCACAAGGGCTACAAAGTTACCTTTACTCAGGCTTTCCTTGGCTTTTTAGTTTCAGCCTTGGCAATCAGCTGTGTCCCGCCTGGTGGTGCCTCTTGGTGAATTTCCGCAGTGAATTTGGCCCATGGTGCAAGGTTCAACGTTTGCTTTCTGCAGCGGATCAGGCCAGTGTTCCTGGCACAAGTGTTTTTGACCTCATGATGAATTGGACTGGAAAATGTAATGGTCAAGAAAATGGCAGCTATTTTTAAAATGTACGGCTAGCTGGAAAATGGTCTTTTTACAGTTGATGTCGCAACTTATTTCCTCCAACTTGTCAGAAGATGACTATGCTGTGTCAAATAGGTACTTTTTTTCCTGCAGTGGTGGGTTTTTTTTTGTTTGTTTGTTTTTCCCCCATTTATGCCATATAACAAACTGCCATTAAACAGAAATTGCTGCTGCTTCTATTTTTCATTATACTGCGGGAGTTGTTATTCCCTATTCCTCAAACTTAGCAGACAAGTATAATACAATACATCATATTCATAGATTAATACAGTGGCCATATGTCCTTTCTAGCACTAATTTTTTTTTTAATAATCACCAAGGAATCACCTCGTATTGCAGTTAAGTATTTTAAAACAAATTAAATATGGTTTGCCCAATTGGGGATAGCTGGTAGGAAGTGATAATGCAGTTTTAGCTTTTTCCTTTTAATATTCTTTGTCTGTGGATGTAGAAAGCTTGACTGAAACTGGCGGCCCATGCAATGCTATCACTGAGCACGCACACACACAGTTTAAAGGGAACATAAAACCATATTGACATGTAGCTGGAAATTATCTGGGGACAGCTACTCTCATATCGACAAACAAAATCTAATTATCAAGTCCTCTGCTGTATTTAAGTACCTATGAAGTGGATAGAGGAGGGAGAAGAGTCCTAATCTCTCATCACTTCACAA